TCAACAAAAGACTGGACCCACACACCAAAAAGTTAGACGTTAACAAAGTCGTAATTAATCGCAGTAACAGTTCTATTTCCGATGGTCTGAAATCCGTTTTAGCTAAAGGTCTAAACTTTGCAGTCACACCTAAACACATACCAGTTAATGATACAATTGCCCAAGTAGACGTTGCTCTCAGGGGCCTGGGTCACATCGCTGCAGACGTAGCAAGATCTGAAATCGCTGCAACCCTCAAAAACGCTAAGTTGCCAGCTAGCAACCTCTGCAAAGATGAGCGTTTTGAATTATATAAATTTAAAAAAGGGATAATATTGTAGTCCTCTCAGCTGACAAGGGCAATGCTACTGTCATCATGGATAAAATAGAATACAACAATAAAAGTAAAGAATTACTCGACGATGGTAGTTATACAAAAATAAAAAGAGATCCCACCAACAGCCTCGTCACACAAACCAACAAAATAATTTCTGATTCAACCGCATTAATTGATCAATCTAAACAGTTTTCGTTGAAACCTTCTGCTGCTAGGCCACCAAGATTATACGGCTTACCAAAAATACATAAAGTAGATACACCCCTTCATCCCATCGTCTCTACTATCAACTCCCCCACCTACAAACTGGCTCGTTTTTTGTCTGAAATCCTGCGTCCTTTCACTGGAAAAACCACCTCTGCGGTACAAAATTCTACTCACCTGGTATCGACAATCAAGGGTATTTCCTTGTTCCCAGATGACCTGCTTGTCAGTTTTGGTGTAGTTTCCTTATTCACCAAGGTTCCTGTACCTGACACCATCGCAATCATTGAAGACTTGGTTCATCAAGGACTAAACACTGAGGTACCCCCCCCCCCCCCTGGTGAGACACTGTTTAACCAATACATACTTCACTTGGAATGGAACTTTCTACAAACAAACTGAGGGCACCCCAATGGACTCCCCCCTATCTCCAGTTATAGCTAACATTTTCATGGGAGTTGATAGTAGAGACGATGGGACGAAGGGGTGTATCTACTTTATGTATTTTTGGTAAGCCGTATAATCTTGGTGGCCTGGCAGCAGAAGGTTTCAACGAAAACTGTTTAGATTGATCAATTAATGCGGTTGAATCAGAAATTATTTTGGTTTGTGTGACGAGGCTGTTGGTGGGATCTCTTTTTATTTTTGTATAACTACCATCGTCGAGTAATTCTTTAATTTTGTTGTTGTATTCTATTTTATCCATGATGACAGTAGCATTGAGACCTGATGGTTCAATGAGCCACTCTGTCTACAGGAAAGCTACCCATACGGATGCTTATCTGAAACCGGATTCCCACCACCATCCATCACAGAAGAATTCTCTCATCAAGACTCTGTATCATAGAGCCCAATGCATATCTGACCAGGAACACATAGGCAGTGAACTCAAGCACGTACACCAAGCTCTTAAGGCTAATGGTTACTCCGACTATACAATCCGCAAAGCTATCACTCAAACCATGAAGAAGGACCCTCTTGAGGAGCCTTTCAAAACCATCACTTTACCCTACATTGCGGGGATCACAAAAAAGATCTCCAAAATCTTGAATAAACACAAGATCCAGGTCCGTTTCAACACATTAAATAAAATCCGTGATCTGGTTCCATCTGTAAAAGATGTGATTCCGGACATACAGTACCCTGGTGCCTACAAACTAAGTTGCCTCTGTGGTAGTAGTTACATTGGAGAAACCAAACGCCATGTCTCGAACCGCATTCGTGAACACAAAGCAGACCTTAAACACGGTAGGACCAACACCTTGGCCTTGGCAGATCATTGTTATAATTCAGTAGGCTCACATGACATTGACTTTTCCAAGACAGAGGTTCTTTGTAAGCCATCTGGCTACCATGAGAGATTCGTTCATGAGGCTATCCACATATACAAGCACAGAGACAATTTCAACCGAGAAGATGGATTCTGGCTTAGCAATCATTGGAAAGATTTGATTAACCATTTCAGGTCTTAATTGATTGTTCATGCTTACAGTGGCTTTCAGACAGCATACATTAATTTTTCATCTCCCCCCTCCTCTTTTCAGAACATAGATGGACTAGTCCTTCTAAATAAACTGCCAAATCGCTGCGCATGGCACTGACGTTTTTTTATAAATAAATACACCGTTTAAAAATAAATTAATGCAAACCGACACACCTGATGACAACCGTTTGTGTTATGGTCGAAACGTCGTGAGAATTTTTGTTTTATATATATTTTATTATTTTGTTGTTTCCCTTCAACGTGACTTTACTGAAAGAACTAAGAATATGAATTACTGCAGTCACGAAAGCTTCAAATCAAAATTTATTGCTAAGGTGTCAGGTACAGGAACCTTGGTGAAGAGAAACTACATCAAAGCTGACGAGTAAATCATCTGGGGACAGTGAGATGCTCTTGATTAGAGAGACCAAGTGAGCTGAGTTACGTACTGCTGAGGTAGTTTTGCTCGTGAATGGAAGCAAGGTATCAGACAGAAAACGGGCCAGTTTGTAGGTAGGTGAGTTGATAGTGGAAATGATGGGCCAAAGTGGAGTACCTTCTTTATGGATTTTTGGAAGACCATAAAATCTGGGTGGTGTAGTAGCAGAAGGTTTTAGGGAGAGCCGTTTGAATGGGTCTATTAGAGAAGTCGAACTGGTAATGATATTGTTGGTTTTTGTAGCCAGGCAGTTGGTAGGATCTTTGTTGATTTTGGTGTAACTGCCATCATTAAGGTCCTGGATTTTGTTGTTGTATGTGGTTTTATCCATGATTACAGTAGCATTGCCCTTGTCGGCTGAGAGGATGACAATGTCATCTCTCTTTTTCAATTTGGCAAGTTCAGAGTGCTAGTTTTTGCTGATGTTACTAATGGGTTTCTTAGCTGACCATTGTTATAACGCTGTGGGCTCGCATGATATTGTTTTTTCTGAGACCAAGGTACTCTGCAAACCTTCGGGCTACTATCAAAGGTTTGTTCATGAAGCCATCCAGATATATAAACATATACATAACTTTAACCGAGAAGATGGATACACATTAAGCAATAATTGGAAGGATTTTATTTTTCGATTTAAAGCTTTCGTGACTGCAAGGATTCATCTTCTTTGGTTCTTTCGGTAAAGTCACGTAGAATGAGAATAAAATAATACATTGATAAAATAAAATAACACAATAATATTCCCACGACGTTTCGGCCACAACACAAGCGGCCTTCATCAGGTGAAGGGACGAGACTGTCTGGTAGGACAGCGCTGGAGTGAAAAAAGCCACGTTCAGATCACGACCTTTAAGCTGTGTCAGAAGAAACAAAGCGCCCTCAACTTTAGCAACACGGATAGCTACGGGCCCCGTTCAGACGGACGAGTTCATCCAAGGTCGGAACAGAGGAGGGGGAGAGAGACAGCTGCGAGGCGCTATTATACTCCATGTTGTAAACCATACCATTAACCGTGGTGGGAGAGGTATTAAGAGTCAATGCTGGTGAAAGAGCTGCGGTCTGAAGGTCATCGTAAAATACAATTATTTAAGAACGGAAATGGTTTAAAACATATTTCTAATGGTTACTAAGCCAGAATCCATCTTCTCGGTTGAAATTGTCTCTGTGCTTGTATATGTGAATGGCCTCATGAGGCCTCATGAGGCCATTCACATATATATAATTGTATTTTACGATGACCTTCAGACCGCAGCTCTTTCACCAGCATTGACTCTTAATTCCTCTCACACCACGGTTAATGGTATGGTTTACAACATGGAGTGTAATAGCGCCTCGCAGCTGTCTCTCTCCCCCTCCTCTGTTCCGACCTTGGATGAACTCGTCCGTCTGAACGGGGCCCGTAGCTATCCGTGTTGCTAAAGTTGAGGGCGCTTTGTTTCTTCTGACACAGCTTAAAGGTCGTGATCTGAACGTGGCTTTTTTCACTCCAGCGCTGTCCTACCAGACAGTCTCGTCCCTTCACCTGATGAAGGCCGCTTGTGTTGTGGCCGAAACGTCGTGAGAATATTATTGTGTTATTTTATTTTATCAATTTATTATTTTATTCTCATTCTACGTGACTTTACCGAAAGAACCAAAGAAGACATTGGAAGGATGTTATTAACCAGGTAAAACCATAACTGCTTTATGGTCGTATCCATCATATCTGCCGGGTACTAGTCTATTTTTCAGAGTTAATTTCCCCCCGCATCCCCAGCTGTCTTGGCCTCCCACTTCCAGCCCCGCCCACTTCCCCCCCCAGCCCCACGTCCTCTCTCCCCCAAGCGTTCACGCAGTGCTCCCCTCTCCCTACCCCATGCCCCCCCCCTCTCTCTCCCCCCTTGCCCCTCCCCCCTTACCTATATAATCTCTTGCCACGGCAGCTCTCTCTCCCACTTCAGCAATTTTTTCTTGCTGTGGTTTTCCCACCTGATGATGATTGCTTGTGTTGCAATCGAAACGTCGTGATTTGTTTTATTTTATTTCTAACTACGTGACTTTACTGAAAGAACCAAAGAGTATGGATTCCTTCAGTCACGAAAGCTTCAAATCAAGATTATATTGTCAAAAATACATAATCTAACATCGCTCCAAATATGCCAAACAATGTGTGCCATATAAGGCAATTGCAGGTATTGTGGCCTCACCATAATTAACTACCCCAGCAGACCACATGGTTGTCTGACGCATGCCACTCACAACTTCAGTGCATCGCTAGTATTCTGGCAGCGTTTTCATTTTCTCTTTTGGGAGTCTATAATTCTGCCTGGTTAGCCTGGCGTTGAGAGGGTTTACTGTACGCAAGTGCTACATAATAACGGACTTCAAGGGCTCCGCTTCTGATGCCATGCAAAGTTTACAGAGATTGCATGCACTTACAATATATATTTTTTAAATGTTGGTAGCCAGCAGACATCTCAAGAAGAACACATTTTACATAAATGCTATCTGTAAACCACTCTTTAGGATGTGACCATGCTCCTTAACCTCTTGGCAATGACTTTCATCAAACTTTCCTCTTTGCATCAACAGTCGTTTAATCCTTGAATTTTATAATATTGTATTATGCTCTTGTAAGGGGTAGATGTAATTTTGCAAGCTGGTGCTTTATAAGCCTTGGATTATATACATAAACCATATTTACTGCTTCAGCAAAACAAGGCGGTTCAATAGCACATTGCTGTAAAGAGTTTAACAATTACTGCTTGTGTACACATAGGTATTTAGATATTTAGCATGGGTGTCATCTATTGCATAGTTTCGTATTTTAAACAAATATGCAATGTATATCTAGAAGCACTTGGCTAAACCATTTACAGTATCTATAAGCATCAATGTATTTACAGGCAGCTGCTGATATTGGCGTCAACGTTTAATACTGCACTAATCATAACGATTATCTTATGTGCTGTGGCCCACGAATGATGATTTGTGGCCAAAGTACTGATTTAATTAGCTTCGTATAAACAACGCAGCCTCCTCACTCGAGCAAGCGAGCCACGGCTCATCTCCCTTTGACAATCGAGCCACGGATGGAGATTTGCTTGCAGAGGCAACCAATCTCTCCAAATAGCAACCATAAATGGATTTTAACCACCACAACGGTCGTTCAAATGCTGCAGGAAATACTGCACAATTTACATGTTAATGAGAATGTGTTTTTTCAAAATAAATTACAAAATATGTGTAAGTGTACAACTGAACCTTTACAATGTATATACCACCCCACTTGCATGCTCTGTGTTTAAATGTCTGGAATTCTAGCAATATAATCACGAAAATGTGTACATAAAAATTGTATATAAAACGCAATTGAGTGCAAGAAGCACCGATACAAATGACAGAGTTTCTCTCAGCAACAATATTCTAATTTGTAATAGGAAAATTGTCAAAATCAGCAATCCAATGGCAGCCACCTCAGACATTTCAGTCAGGACCATACATTACCCAGGGATTTCAAGTGTTGAAAGGTTTGATCGTTTCAATATGAAGATCTATCTTCATATGATTTACATTGATATATTGTTCATGAAATTGAGAACCTGTTAAAATTGGTCTATGAGGCTGCGGATATAAGATGCCTGGCAAAGGCCCTTCTCAGTCACGAGCAAGCGGAAAAGTGTTGGACAGTCTGTTGAACAGCAAGGAGGCTTCCACTCAGCATGACCGGTGCAGCTCCTGCAGATCTGCAAAACAGTTTAATCCACACAGGTGATTATCCACTGCCAGTCCTGTTCAGAATTATGTTTTTCTGTACAGAATAGAAATATCCAACCTCGACTATGTTACCGCACACAAACCTGAAGCAGCTGTGCCTGCCGGCGCTCCTGGCTGTGAATCTGCTGCAGCAGCAAAACGGCCACTTCTTGGGGCTGCTGTCTGCACTGTCCACAGATTCCATCCTTGGTGATATCGCCGCACACTGGACAGTTTACGGTACTGAAGTACTGCACAATTGTGGCCTTTCTCCCTTCGGCTGACGACTGGTGGTGGGCTGCCCAGACCCTGACCGACTGGGAAAACAAAACAATTCAGAGCAGACGACTCATCATCACGCATGTCTTAGCATCAGAAATGCCTCCCTGCGATGTATACAAGTTAGAGCATGAAATTAACTCACACGCGGCAGCTGCTGATACCATCTGAAGACATCCACCCCGATCAATGACAACAGCCTGTCTAGCGGTGGGAGGATCTGCTTGGAGACGTAGTAGGGGGCGTTGATGAGCAGGCTGGGCTCCTGCAGGAGCTCCTGTGGCCTCCTCACCAGCTGGATGAGCGGGAGGCCCGGGGCCCCGTGGACGATCACATAGGGGACCCTCTCTCCCGCACGTGGCTCAGATCGACGGTCACATGCAAACATCCTCCTGGATCACACACAGATGATTTACATTTTTGAGTGTATCAAAATCAGCAGAGCACGATTGGCACCATTCTCTAACTATTGATGGTTGAAAACCTCCCACACCACATCAGCATTTTTGTACCATAACTTCACTATGATCAGTGCAAAAATATGTTTTGATTAAACCTAACTACAATGGATGGTTCTGAATGGTTATAACATGTTGTCATACACAAGTAGGTTCAGTCCAAACACTTCTCACACTGAAGTCACTCAGCATCGTAGCAGACACCAATCAGCGAGGAGGCAGCAGGCTTACCGGGCCACATGCAGTGCTGGCACACAAGCCCCAGGCTTGTAGCCAGACCTGCCCCGGTACTCCTTGGCAAAGATGAGGTCCTGCATGGAGGCTCTGCCCTCAAGTATCTTCATACACTGCCTCTGCACGTACTGCTTCACTCTGCTGATGTCCTTCTCGTCAAACAGCAACTTTATCGACCGCTCCAGGACCTGAGTTGTCAAACACAATACATCCCACACAGTACGTAAACATGGCTGCTCCAGTGTCACATGAGAGCCAATGATTCTCATTACGAGTGTGAGCTGCGTTCGTACATCATAATCACCAGCAAGCCTATACCACCGTTCACCAAAGTCTATGTGCTAATACAGCCTTGTATACATAATTACAGTACTCTCGATTATTCACATGCGTTTTATCCGATTTGTGGATTAACTGGGCACCTGAGGTTTTGACATCAATTCATAATTCATGGATTTTTCCTTAAGCCCAAATTCATAATCTAAAAACCGTTATACATTGTTAATCTTGGAAAAGTTTATTACAAAGTCACGTGCTTAATCCGAAATCCACGTGATTGCCTCAACAGTATATAAGTTGCATATCTTTACAACAGTGGGCAGAGTTTGATTGATGTTGATTGGCTCTGCTATCCACTTAGTGGGCCAAGTCTTCTGCACGGGAGCAGGAAAGTGTTATCACTGAGCACACGTATCGATCGGTTGATTAGTATTCGTTCTAAATTTCTTAACTTAAATATAATTTATATCTATATATATATTCTCAATTTTGTCATCTTTAACATAATTTATACCAATATATTCTCAATTTTTTAACTTAAACATTATTTATACCTATATTATCAATTTTATCTTAAACATATTTTATACCTATAAGTGTTTTTGGCATAGAGATCTGCAGAAACTTGAAATTTTTGGATTATCCACGATTTTTAATGTATGTTCTGTCTGGCTCTATCCATCTGTTAAACATAGTGCCTTCATGATAGCTCTGCTCTATACAAATGGTACAAATATGAAATTTACTAAATTATTATCATTAATAAAAGAGCAGCCAATGCAGGCTGCCCAAGGAGACCTTGGCCACAGCAGGACATCCATCCCTGCGCACGGTCTCGATTCCTTTGGCGTCGTACACAGGATCCTTTTGCTCCAGGCTCTCATACATGTATCCCACGTAGCGTTTCTTGGTTTGAAGCACGCATGGCAGGTACACCTGCAAACAGCAGCAGGGACCAGACGGGCAGTATGATGTAACACTCAAGTCAAACGGAATATGTCACTGGAAATGATTTGCACACATTAACTTGGGTGGATTTTTTGGGTGCCATCTCACCTGTACAAATCACCACACAAAAGAAGCCACCACAGCCACACACACGGGGAAGCCACCTTGTACACAGATCCTCATCTTTTTAACATTGGTTCTTGAGTTTTTTAGTGGAATAAACATCTAATTAAGTCATATTTAAATATTCAAGCCATCCTGTGTACCTTTAGCAAGCAAATACAACCAACCAAGCACAGAACTAAGTGTCTGTCTGTTCGTCAGGCCTGGTCATGCCATTTGTGGTGTATTGTTCATGCAGTGACCACATTTAGTTCTAATCACAAACATCTTCAAATAAATCAACATGAACTTCTATTGATGTAAATCTAACATACATTACAAATGCAACAAATTATTTGGCGATGCTAAGTTGGCAGTGGTGCACAAGCACAAATATCAAAATAACTCACCACATTCATCAATAGCATTGCCTTCAAAAGAAAAACTATACTATTCACATTCTGCATGCATTTTTTTACAGTGTTTCAGATCCTTTCCTTTTTGGTAAAGATTTGAATGAGGTGTTACGACTGTATCTGCTAATATGAGCCCAGGGTGATTTGTCGAGTCAAGGTCACGTATTCACTTTAGGTTGACCAAAGCCAGGTCACAGATTGAAGGAACATTGTTTGTAATAAATGACTAGGATTTATAAAATAGCAAGTCCAAACCCTTCCAAGTTATTTTTTTCCAGGAAAATCAATGCACGTAACTGATTACATTCCCCATAACCATCTAACCACAAGCACACAATTATCGTTGTTTGTGCAAAAAAAATCAAATTTCAACAAATGCCACTGACAAGATTCAAATAAAAATTGATTTTTAAATATAAATGAGAAATATTGAAATTATGGACTGCATTCGTCAATTCAAGAACCATTTAGAGCCGAATGTATTTTGACAATTTTAGCCACACACTCAAGTATGGTACCATCACCTTTTCAAACTTGAGTTTGATGGGGCTGGGGTTGGCTGCTGTCACTGCTGCAGCAATCTCCTTTCCAGTGCGGAACGCCTGCTCCTTCGAGGCTCCCTCCAGCAACACGAACATGCTTCACATACCACATTAAGGATGTATGACAAGATACCAACACTGTTACCAACACACAACTTGAAATGCAACAGGATCCTCCCATATCTATCGGAGGCCATTGATTCTTCTATACTCCTGAAATAAGTACATCTGTTATACGGTGTTTTTATCTGGAACATTAGCAATACAAACATGATAGGGATTAAAACTGCATTTGTGTGTCCACTTTAATTAAGTTGAGGATGAATTCCATTTGCGAACATTTCCTTGTAAATCAGTGCACGGAACTGAAACATGAGTAGACACTGCAATGTTTGTCTCGAATGAGGTGTTTATTTTGGACGTTTTTGTTGATTTCCATGCAACTGAAATTCTACTCTCGCATGTGAAGGCAGAAATATGTTCAACAGCTCGATGCCAATGTCGAGGTCTGCTATCCACAACGAGGGGGCTTCAGGAGAGACAGTGTGTAGTTTTGCTGTTCCTCCTCCATTGAAGCACAGACTACTGTGGTTTCTTGTACGGTCCGTAGTGTTGGTAGCATGCCACAATGGACACTACTGCAGCTTATCTTTAAGTTTCCATTCATGAAGGAGATGTGTGCATCGGCCTGTTGATGTTCTGATGCAGTTTATGGTACACCATTGTCTTCGATAAATGTTAAAGCTAGGAGGTATGATGTCTCGAATCAGGTGTTTATTTTGGATATCCACATCGTTCCACAAGTTTGCCAGCATCCGTCCGGATCTGACTGAGATTCTAGGTTGACAGCAGCGCGATCCCAGAATGAGGATCAGGACTTGAGTCGGCAGAAAGGTACATTGTTGAGGTCTTGGTTGCTGGGTAGGTGGTTGTCGTTGGCAAGAAAATGTGGAAACTCCCTTGTAGTTTGCATGTATATGCGGACATTTGGTAGCAGAATCTTTGCTAAAACAGGGACCAGGGATTTGTATTGGTTTCAGTGTCCCGATTATGAGATGCATTGCATTAATTGTGTATGTGACAGTTTTGTGCATGTAACAGTTTTGTGTATGCGCTCCTGGTCCACACTGAAGCGCAGTGACTGCCATCAAGTAGATCATCAGTGAGAAGGTGGCAGGTCGTAGCGCATCAGCTAAGGTGCCCCAAGTAATTCCTGTAAGTTTTTGTAGGAGGGCAATTCTTCATTTGATCTTTTCACAAATCTGTTTTATGTAGGGCTTGAAAGTTAGCTTTCTATCCATGATAACCCCTATACATATTGCAGTGTGGTCATAGCATGCTGGGCTACCACAAGATACATCAAGGTTGGCATCTGCTACGTGATTGTTCAGATGGAAAGTGCTTGTAGTGGTTTTGGAGGGATTTGGTCAGTCTCTAGTGACAGAAATATCTTTCCAACCATTAGATCAGCTGTGAGAGTATTGGCAATGTTCTCGAAGTTTGTGCCCTGTGCAGCGAGGGCTATGTTGTCTGCATAGAGTAGATTCTCGATAATTATCCGCGTGCGGTTTATCCGATTTGCGGATTAACCGCACACTTGAGAATTTGGCATAAATGAATAACTCATGGATTTTCCCTTAAGTCCAAATTAATAATTTAAACAGTTCTACATTGTTATTCTTGGAAATGTTTATTACAAGTCACGTGCTTAAACTGACCAAATACAGTGAGGGAAAAAAGTATTTGATCCCCTGCTGATTTTGTACGTTTGCCCACTGACAAAGAAATGATCAGTCTATAATTTTAATGGTAGATTTATTTTAACAGTGAGAGAAAATAACAAGAAAAAACATCCAGAAAAACGCATGTGAAAAAGGTTATAAATTGATTTGCATTTTAATGAGGGAAATAAGTATTTGACCCCTCTGCAAAACATGACTTAGTACTTGGTGGCAAAACCCTTGTTGGCAATCACAGAGGTCAAACGTTTCTTGTAGTTGGCCACCAGGTTTGCACATATCTCAGGAGGGATTTTGTCCCACTCCTCTTTGCAGATCTTCTCCAAGTCATTAAGGTTTCGAGGCTGACGTTTGGCAATTCGAACCTTCAGCTCCCTCCACAGATTTTATATGGGATTAAGGTCTGGAGACTGGCTAGGCCACTCCAGGACCTTAATGTGCTTCTTCTTGATCCACGCCTTTGTTGCCTTGGCCGTGTGTTTTGGGTCATTGTCATGCTGGAATACCCATCCACGACCCATTTTCAATGCCCTGGCTGAGGGAAGGAGGTTCTCACCCAAGATTTGACGGTACATGGCCCCGTCCATCGTCTCTGATGCGGTGAAGTTGTCCTGTCCCCTTAGCAGAAAAACACCCCCAAAGCATAATGTTTCCACCTCCATGTTTGACGATGGTGTTCTTGGGGTCATAGGAAGCATTCCTCCTCCTCCAAACACGACGAGTTGAGTTGATGCCAAAGAGCTCCAGTTTGGTCTCATCTAACCACAACACTTTCACCCAGTTGTCCTCTGAATCATTCAGATGTTCATTGGCAAACTTCAGACGGGCATGTATATGTGCTTTCTTGAGCAGGGGGACCTTGCGGGCGCTGCAGGATTTCAGTCCTTCACGGCGTAGTGTGTTACCAATTGTTTTCTTGGTGACTATGGTCCCAGCTGTCTTGAGATCATTGACAAGATCCTCCCGTGTAGTTCTGGGCTTGGCCATGGTAGAGAGTTTGGAATCTGATTGATTGATTGCTTCTGTGGACAGGTGTCTTATATACATGTAACAAGCTTAGATTAGGAGCACTCTCTTTAAGAGTGTGCTCCTAATCTCAGCTCGTTACCTGTATAAAAGACACCTGGGAGCCAGAAATCTTTCTGATTGAGAGGGAGTCAAATACGTATTTCCCTCATTAAAATGCAAATCAATTTATAACATTTGTGACATGCGTTTTTCTGGATTGTTTTGTTGTTATTCTGTCTCTCACTGTTCAAATAAACCTACCATTAAAATTATAGACTGATCATGTCTTTTTCAGTGGGCAAACGTATAAAATCAGCAGGGGATCAAATACTTTTTTCCCTCACTGTATGTGCTTCGGTTAATCCTAAATACACTTGATCGCAACTACAGTACACAGTGGGCGGAGTTTTATTGATATTGATTGGCGTGGGTCTATCATCCACTTAGTGGCCAGAGTCTTCTTTGCGGGAGCTCAAAACAAAGCTGTCTCGAGTGTTGACCAATCAGTTTCAAAGACAATGCATATATTAGCAGAGCATGTTTTTTGTTTGCATGATCACCACAAGTACGTGTGGTTAATGCAGCCAGGATTCCTTGAAACAAAGGATTACGTTTGGTGTGTTAACATCTTAACACCTCTTTTAGTGCCAGAAAAGGTAAAACCTATTGTTATATTTTGACACTGGCAAGAAAGGTCCCATATTGTACCTGCTCACCCCAAGCAATAAATGCCCTGATAGTTAATTGTCTATGTGCTGTTCGCCTTTTGGCGTTCTCTGGTCTAACACTTTGAGACTAGGCTCAAAAGAAAGCTGTCTCTGGTGTGGACCAATCAGTTTCAAAGACAATGCATGTATTATCAGAGCATGTTTTTTGTTTGCATGTTCACCACAAGAACATGTGGTTAATGCAGACAGGATTCCTTGAAAAAGGATTCTGTTTAATGTTTTAACACCTTGACTTAAAGTTTTCGTGACTGCAGGAATTCATATTATTTGGGTCTTTCGGTAAAGTCACGTAGATATGTTCAAAGAAAATAACAAAAACTACGACGTTTTGATCGCAACACAAGCGGTCGTCATCAGGCAAAGAGTTAGCTTCTGAAGGCAAAATGTTTATAAAGGTTTGGGAATGGGCATGAACTAAGCGTATCAGCGGCAACCAGGGTCATGGGCAGTGCACCACTGTCAATGCAGCAACAATGACAATGCCGCACTACTGCCAATGCAGCAGCTATATTAATGTGAGCAGCAATGACAATGCAGCACTACTGCCAATGCAGCAACTATGTTAATATGAGAGATTAGCATGGAAATGTAAGATCACAGAGCTTCCGCCACGTCGGCGCATGAGGTGGCTGTGTTAGTGTGACAAATTTTTTAACCTGTTAATGTAAAATCAGAGAGCCGAAAATTACAACTAACATTAGTTATTAACCAGTTATGACTTAAACTGGTTAATAACGTCCTTCCAATGATTTCTCAGTTTTTACCCATCTTCTTGGTTGAAATTGTGTCTGTGTCTATATATATGGATGGCTTCATGAACGAATCTTTGTTGATAGCCAGTAGGCTTGCAAAGTAACACAATTCAGGACCTACGTAATGATGGTAGCTATACCAAAATTAAAAGATTTCCCACCAACCGCCTCGTTACGAAAACCAACATCATTACTGATTCGACATCTTTAATCGAACCAACCAAGCGGTTTTCCTTAAAACCCTACCCTGCTAGGCCACCCAGATTGTATGGCTTACTAAAAATCCATAAAGAAGGTAGACCCCTTCGTCCTATCGTCTCCACCATTAACTCACTCACCTACAAACTGGCCCGATTTCGGTCTGAGATCTTACAATCATTCACTGGTAAGACCACCTCAGCTGTACTTAACTCAGCTCACTTGGTATCGTTAATTAAGGACATCTCACTATCTCCAGGTGGAAGGGAAATAATAAAAATAAAACATAATATAATAAAATTCTCACGACGTTTCGGCCACAACGCAAGCAGCCGTCCTCAGGTGAAGAAACAGAGCTGTCAGAAAGACAGCGTATTAATGAACACTGCTAAGCTTGGCAGCGTATTTTAACCTGGGTGGGAGGAGAGAGCCTTGACAAAGGAGTTTACATATCAACAGAGGAATTTAGCATATTGATGACAAATGCAGATATGGGGTTAGTCACACCTTGCGGAATGTGTAGGCGGTGGGTTGTCCCAAAGTCATATTATGGTAGTGTATTATGTAGGATTAGCAGTAATCAAGGGAGGGAAATTTTAATAATAAAGAACTGCAGCAGCCAAACCACCGCGTATCAAGCTAGTGTACTATGTGTAAAACAAAAAAGGAGTT